TGTTAAATGAAGACTTAGGGCTTCGAGCATATCGAAGAAAAACAGGACATTGTTTGAATGCTCGTCTAATGGACCTGAGACTGAAGAGATGTCGCGCTTTGTTGAAGCGGTACGCGGGAAAAAATATCGGGAAATTCTTTTTTTCGGATGAAAAAATTTTTACCGTAGAAGAGAGCTACAACAAACAAAATGATAAGGTGTAAAAGGGTGTTAAATGAAGACTTAGGGCTTCGGGCATATCGAAGAAAAACAGGACATCGTTTGAATGCTCGTCTAATGGACCTGAGACTGTTGAGATGCCGCGCTTTGTCGAAGCGGTACGCGGGAAAAAATATCGGGAAATTCTTTTGTCGGATGAAAAAATTTTTACCGTAGAAGAGAGCTACAACAAACAAAATGATAAGGTGTACGCACACAGTAGTGAAGAAGCGAGCAACCGTATTCCGCGTGTCCAACGAGGTCATTTTCCATCCTCGCTCATGGTATGGTTGGGAGTTTCTTATTGGGGCTTAACAAAGGTACATTTTTGTGAGAAAGGTGTAAAAACGAATGTAGTTGTGTATAAAATACAGTCCTGACGAACCTTGTGTAACCTGTTTCTCATACCATGTTCAATAACAGGCACTGGGTATTCCAACAAGATTCGGCGTCAGCTCATAGAGCGAAGAGCACACAAGACTGGCTGGCGGCGCGTGAAATCGACTTCATCCGGCACGAAGACTGGCCCTCCTCCAGTCCAGATTTGAATCCGTTAGATTACAAGATATGGCAACACTTAGAGGAGAAGGCGTGCTCAAAGCCTCATCCCAATTTGGAGTCACTCAAGACATCCTTGATTAAGGCAGCCGCCGATATTGACATAGACCTCGTTCGTGCTGCGATAGACGACTCGCCGCGCAGATTGAAGGCCTGTATTCAAAATCACGTAGGTCATTTTGAATAAATATGGGGTATATAAATGGTTACATAATGAATAAACTTGTTTCAATTATTTTATATTAAGCATGTGATATAATTTATGACCTGACTAGGTAATATGCAATTTGGGTACAGATGATAAACCAGGGTCACATTGGGTAGCTTTATATATCGATACGAATGACGTCGGTCAATATTTTGATTCATATGGACGGACGCCTGTACGATATCATCTAGAGTTTTTAAAAAGAAATTGTAAAAGATGGAACTAGAATGTTGATAGGATTCAGAATGAGTGGACTTCAGTTTGTGGCGAATATTGCTTAATGTTTTTGCTATATAAGTTTCAGGGATGTTCAATGCATAGTTTTACGAGTATATTTACAGGGAACACATTGTACAACGATATTTTAGTGGATGAGATGTTTCGCTCCTATTTTATAGATAATAGGTAATAAGATTTTGTATTTCGTAAATAAAAATTGTAACAAAATTAGGTAATGTATTTTATTGATGATTCAGATTACCGTTGTAGATAGGAACCAAGGAGTATAATATAATAGCATAAGCCGACCCACACGCTGACGAATATTAGATAATGACGGTATTGAACGAACAATAGATAAGTAGATAGGGACAATGGAGCGCTAATGACGGTTGAGGCCTACACCGGATATCAATTAGATAAGAGTTAATTGATTTGCACATCTCCGGAACCGTGCATCCTACGCAAAAATGGACCGCAGATTCGTGATCAGAGCATGCCATTTTTTTTTAGGATCGTGAGTCGACGAACGTCGTACTTGTACCACTTCTGACTAAGTGCGCCAGAACTGGTACAACGTAACTACTGTTAATCATAAACCAATATTACAAGTTTAGAAGTAAGTCTAAAATAAATACGTAGATGCCAGTGTGTAGTATATGAGTGTGTGTGTTGTTATTTTGCTTAACAGTTTGCATTTTTACCTATCTATATTTAATAATTTTTCAGTTTCCTCATAAGATAAAGACATTAAAAACTTAGAGCTTGCTTACATTTGAAGGATGTACGTATGTGCATATGTACGTATGTATGTATGTATGTTCGGATTCAATTTTCGCCTCGTGTATCTCGAGAACAAAGAGTGATATTGACATGGGACCAGTTTCATTTAACGCATAATTATGTAACTTAGACCTCATTAAATTTTGAGCAAAATCGGTCAAGTCATTTTTGTGCCCAATGAAAAATTGTATAAAATATTAAAACATAAGATATTTTTTTATTCTTTCCACTGGGAAGTTAGTCGTGTGGACCTTTTGGGTCGCACCTAGACCGCTTTTTATTGAATAATATGTGCGAGCTATGTATTTTTGCTACGTTTGTTGTACTTTTATGGAAGCGATAGTTACAAGAGAATAATCACAATACATTTAGAATCTCCTTCTCGTCATCATCCTGTAAATAGTTGCGTCCATTCATTCTTGCTTGGCTGGTGGATTAATGTATCTGAAGCAGTATCTTAGACTGCGTACTCTAATAGTTTTGAGCCTTTGACGACGATACCCGTTGCCAATGTGGATGACTAATTTTACAACTGCTATAAATATAAACAAAACCGTCATAACATCATCTATTGAATGTCATAAAGCTTTTTGGCAATTTTCCTAACTCTCTTTTTAAGACTCCTGCAGGACGAGATGGATTCTCTTGCAACGCCACCACATAGACCCGAAAACCAGTTATTTTTTTAAAATTTGTCTTTGTCATATAAGCTGCTCACACACCAAAAAGTTTTATGACGATTTGAAGATATCGCAGTATAAATAATTAAAAATATTTTCTAACGTTCTTGCTGACCACGACATAACCCGAATATCGACCTCTTCAAGGTAATCGGTTGTGATGCGCGCTACGTGTGGTCGTGCATTATCATGCATTAATTCAAAGGTCTCTCCAATATAGCCGGCGTATGTCACCACATGGTCTTCTAAGATCTCTGTGATGTAGCGTGCTGCAGTTAAAGCACCACTTCGTATCAAAACCAGCTCAGTGCGTCCAGTCAAAGATATCCCAGCCCAAAACATTACAGAGCCTCCACCATAACTGATAGTTTCTCTTATGCAACACTGGGTATAACGTTCACCTGGTCGTCGCATGACATTACGGCGTCCGTCAGAACCGTATTAAGTCATTCGACTCTCATCACTAAAAAGAACTGACTCCCATTGGCCTATAGTCCAGTTGATGTGGTTACGCGCAAATTGAAGTCTGGCTTGTCGATGAGCTGTGGTCAATTGTGGTCTTGTTGTTGGCTTGTGAGGTCTTAAATTCTGCTCACGAAGTCTCCTTCTCACAGTACTATCACTTATAGCTACACCTCGATCTTCACGTAAGCGTCGCTGGAGATCAACACCAGATAAGTGCCGATTTCGTAGAGCTGATAACACTATAAATCGGTCAACCCTTTGAGTTGTCACCCTATGTCTTCCAGATCCAGATCTTCTTCGATACTGCCCAGTCTCCAGAAAACTTTGGTAAACTTGTCGCACTGCAGATCGGCTCAAATTTGACCTCCTGGCCACGACACGTTGACTTAAGCCTTGTTGCAGCAAAGCCACGACTTGGGCCGCCTCAGCTTCAGTAGTGTCCATTATTTTTAGACAAAGTAATCAAAGCTACAGTCTCAGTAAATAAACTTAACGTTATTAATGAGAAATCCCTACAAAAGTCTGTGTCGGACTGAAATAACGGTTCGAATTTGTTTTGACGTAAAACAACGAAATCAGCACTCAACAGTATTTCTGTATAAAAAATTATAAAGTACCTTCAATTGCAATAAGATTTACGACAAACAAGGTGTCAAACATCATATCCGACCCTCAAAATAAAAAACAAATGTGTGAAACAGCTTTTAAGTGAAACAATCGATAAATTTCAAACAAAAAATGGGTGGGTTGATTTTTTTGATGACCAGTATATATACTCGTATACAACATGTAACATAATTAACGCACTTTGAGAAAGTAGTTTGTTCAGAATCGTTTACTGAATCGATTCCTATCATTTTTAATATAGGTAATTTTTTATCCCAAAAATAATTAAAACTACATACGTAAATTACAGTCACACTAAATCTGTACAGTCAAAACAAACTGAAATGGACCGTAACTTAAGGCAATAAGACTTGTGACAATGAGTGCAGTTTTATTTGTATTATTACTAATTCTGTCATTCAATAAAAATAAAGAAAAATTAACTTTATTTCAAGCACGTTAAAGTCTTTGCGTTTGTGGATTTGTACTGTATATGTGTATATATATATATATATATATATATATATATATATATATATTTTATAGAATAGGCTGACAAACGAGCACACAGTCCACCTGATGGTAAGTGGTTGCTGCGGCCAATAGACATCTACATCTATCTTCCATTACAAATCAAAATGCAGATGCGTTGTCACCCGTGAGGACTGAGATGGAATGCCTCATTTTCAGTAAAAAGGGTCTCCGGTTCTCTACACTCACCATACGAAATACAGCAGCATTAAGCTACTATTTCACGCTGGTATTCTGTGAGAGCGTGGTCCTTCCCCCGGTCGAGCCGACCCATTCGTGCTACAACTATACTACTAATATAACTGCAGCGTGGCTCTACCACGTAGACATATATATATATATACATATATATATATATATATATATATATATATATATACACACATAGTGATAGTATATTCAGACAACCGACAATTTATTATAATACTTTGTTGTACACATTATAAATGAATTAATGACGATGTATCGTGTGATACCGAATTCTATGCTATATCCATAACTAAATCCAGTAGCGACTTAAGGTTATATGGCGCCCGATTTGGTAGTCCGCTAGTCCGATTTGGTGCCCTTATTGTCATGTAATATCATTGGTTCTAAGAAAACAAAATAAATTTGTGTTATTGGACAGAATGTGTTTTTGTGTTATAGTGGACAGAAATTCTCATAGGATTTGGAGTAAAATTGCGACGAAAGGATCGAAAAAACCCTCTGAACAATTTTGCGTAAAATTTATGGAGCTTTTTATTCTGCAGGGAATGTGTTATCTACACAGTGGCTTAGGAGCACACGGCAAATTACGATCTTCCAATTGCTTGATCGACGGACGCTTCGTGCTCAAAATATCCGACTACGGTCTCAACACACTTTGCACGCCCACGGACTTGATAAAGGACGACACATATTATTATAGTAAATATATCAATAACTAGATATAATAAATATATTATCATATTGAGCTTAGACACATCTATATAATATATATATATATATATATATATATATATATATATATATATATATGTATGTATATATATATATATATAGTATGATAGTTGTTTAGGGGTGTACAGGTTACTTCAAAAAATGTGGCATCTTTTAAATATGTTTCCTTCTTTGATGATGTTAAACAATTTCCATAGCCACGCCTTTAAATAGGCATTGCCTTTTTATAGAATAAAGGTGGCAAACCAGTACACAGTCTACCTGCTGGTAAGAGGATGCTGTGGGGCATAGACATCTACATCTATCCTCGAATAAGAATCAAAATGCTGACACGCTCTTATCTCCGATGGCTAAGATGGATTTCCTTGTTTCAAGTAAAAGGTTTTCCGTTTTTCTTCACTCACTATATATAGCGATTTTACGCTAAATTTCTGTGAGAACGTGGTATTTTATGTACCTTGCAGACTCATTCATATATCATTCATATAATATATCTGCAGCATGGCTCTACAAGTACCACTTAAACTACAGGAAGCTATTAACATCACAAGTTATATTACAGTCCGCAAGTGTACGCTACCACAGAGACACTTACTCGATCCAAATCCCGATATGTCATTGTCCGATATAATATTGGTACGAACAGATCAGAGCCAACCATGATTCAACAGACACGTAACAGTCGAGCACACAGTCCATCGAGTAATGGTAACCTGGGTACTACCATAGACGCCGACATCTACCCTTAATAGGCACCAAACAAAATACAGATATCACCCTTGAAGACTAAGGTAGAGATAAAAATAGGGATAGACAAGAGCGAGACGATAAAAGAAATAGATAGCTCTTTACCAGTAAAAACTAAAGCTTTAAGGTAGGGTTCCTTTTATAGAAGTAACGGTATAATTTGGCCTATCGACATCTATTCTCAATAGACAAGATACAAAATGCGCTGCGCTATCATATCTGAAGAATAAGATTTGTTTCGATTCTCTCTGTTGCCTCTTACGGCAAACACGTGATATTGGGTAGTGGAGTCACTGTACGGCACTGTTGTCAATGTTCTATATACATTTATGAAAACAAATTCACTAACAATAATCCATTTAACAGTACTGATGATAGAATATGGGGTTGTGCCACTACACGTAATGTCAACGATATAGGAATATACACTACTCCATATCGTCCCGAGGGCATCGTAAGAAGCGACAAAGGGAAAATGAAATAAGAGATGGGGGAAGGGAGAGGGCATAGGGGATTTCTGATAGCAACTGATTATAATAAAAAATTGTGGTTGCCACTACGCTTGCCGAGCGTGGAAACTATGGCAAAATCCCCCCATGAGATGATGATGATGATCTATGAGGGAGGCTTATGTTTAGCAGTAAACTTTCATAGGTTGTAATGAATGGATGATAAAATAATCATTTTGTTTAGAATTACTGTGGACAGCGCCTGAATTAGTTCCTGGAAGCTTATACCCTGGAGCGGTAGCTTCGTTGAAAGGTGACGTGTACAGCTTCGGGATAATACTGGAGGAGATCGTGCGACGGGCGGGACCTTTTCACCACTACACGCCAACTATATCTTACAAAGGTCATATTTTACACCAGTTCAATATAATATATAAGTCTATAGATAATTTCTGAAAAGAGCTCAGATGCACTATAAAAAGACAAAAAAAAAACAAAGGTCGTTTCGTACTTATGCGGTGCGATATGCGAAGAAATATTTTTATGCTTTAGGCTTTAATTTTTACCCTCTAGAATTGATACTTCTTAAAGTAGAATGTGCTCGGGAAAAATATACGCAAATAAGAAATACTCCATAAATTTTTTTATCGAATGTATTTTTAAGACACTATATTAATCGAGGGAAAATATATACAAATTAAAGGCCGGGAAAAATTTAACTTTCGACTTCTCGATGTTTTTAAGCGACAACATATTTATTGACTATATGAAAGGCATGTTATTGAATTATTTAACGTCTATAGACAACTAACGCCACCAGACATAAACACAGACCTCTGAAGACAAAATGGCGGGATATCTTACGCCACCATTAAATGGCAGAGTGACTCCTCCAATTAAATTAATATTAGACACGAAAAAAAAATACTAAACTGCTACTCAATTTTAAAATGTCTTTATCTCGTGGCGACACAGTTACTTTAACTTAAAGTGAAGACAACACAAGATCAATATTGAGTAGCGTTTGAGTATTTAGGCATAAGATAATTGATAGAATCAGGCGTTACTTTGCGGAAATCCACTATAACAAAGATATTAATTAATTTGCAACCTTCCGCTGACTAAATACAACGATATGTCTTACCACTTACGTTAATACGACACGTGTTTCGCCTCTACACGAGGTATCCTCAGGTGATGTAGACTCTACGGCCTAGAGTCTAGAGTCGAAACACGTGTCCTATTATCGTCGATGGTGTGTCTTTCCTGGAATAGTGGTGTTGGAAGTAGTGGTGCCGGGAGTAGTGGTGTTGGGAGTAGTTGTGCTGGGACTAGTGGTGACGGAATTAGTGCACGCAATTGAGGAAGGGTGGGAGGCGCTCTTCAATCCAGGTAAGACACATCATTGTATTTAGTCAGCGGAAGGTTGCAAACTAATTAATATCTTTATTATTTAGGCATAAGTCTAATAGCTGCAAATAGCTTAAGACAAAAAGAGGTCGTCATTATTTGGTGAAATCATTGCTAGTCCAATGTAATCTACAGCTGTTACTGAAAAGAAATTAAGTTACCAATTACTAATTTATAATGGACAATTTTCTTTACAACAGACATTGTTACACGGGTGTGCGCGCGTGAGTCTCCACCATTTCGACCTTTGGTGGGAGTAAATGAAGTAGGCGCTGCTTCTGGAGGTGGTGCAGCGGCCGAACTCCTGGAGCTGGCGGAGAAGTGCTGGAGCGAGATGCCTGATGACAGACCTTCCTTCGATGCCATTAACACCACTTATATCAAGTATATTCAAGTATATTTTTAACGTTTAATAAAATTGATATGCCATTGCAAATACACTATTTTATTTCAGTCACAGGTAGAAACAAATGCAAAGTTTTTTTTAGATGAGGGTGCAGAAGAGCTTACGGTTTACCTGATGGTGACTACCGTTGTCCATTAACAAATGCAACACTAAGAGAGTTGCCGGCCAATTAAAAAATAGTAGTAGGTTCTATTATATACAATTTATATATTATATTGAAAGAGATACAACTTAGCGTATCTTATTAAAATTTTGTTTTAATAAAGAACTGAACATTTTTCGGCTTCGGCATCACTTTAAATGTGGGCTGTGCTCAGGTTATATTTCTTTGTTGGTTTTAAAATACATAGGCAAACTTAATGTAACTAAAGTAGTTATATTAAGTTGGCTTCGTGTGGGGGGGGGGGGCGTAAAGAGAATTTACCACCCCTTATTATAGCCATTACGTTTATGCCAGACGTAAAACACCCAAACCGGAGGCAGCGTCAAAGGTGTAAGACGTCTGGTGCTACGATCGCAAATGTGCCTGCCAAGTCTGGCGACTAGGACAAATCCTACCTACAGCGGGAGATATCCAGCAGAGGAGTTTAATGGGCTGATAAAAAAAGAAGACAGTCGTTATACTAACCTTAGTTAGTGTTGGAAGGAACACGAAAGAGCCACGCTATATCTATATTGTGGTTGCAGCACGAATGGTTCAGCTCAAAAGTTAAAGATCCACGCTTTCAAAATATCAGCCGAAAATAACAGATTTAGGACCGATTCTCATTTGCCGTTCACAGTTCGTACTCGGTCCGATCTCGGTCTGATTTATTATACCGGAATGGGATTGGACCGAAACTGTTACGGGTAGTATGAATACACACATATTTTTACTTGATAATATTTTATCAGACCGAGATCGAACGAACTGTGAACGGCATTATAATAAGGATCGGCCCTCATGCTGCCGTGTTTTGTGTAGATAACCGGAGACCCGTTATAACATTCCATCTTACGAGTAGCCCTCAGGGGTTTTTTGATTTTTGATTTAGGTTTACATTTTGAGAAGTGACAAGTGCGAGTGGCAAGTGCAACGTATTTTATTCACACTTATCACTTGTCACTGCCTGTTCACATGCACTAAGCACTTATCATTTGTCAGTTGCACTTGCCACTCGCACTTATCACTTCTCGATCTGTAAACCGAACTTTAATCGAGGATAAATGTTGGTGTTCATAGGCCACAACATTTAATATCCATCGGGCGGACTGTAGCTCGTTAGTCACTTTTATTCTAAAAAATTGCCTGTTTTAGAGGCTACTGTGACAATTTGATGGATGACTTACTGCGACGTATGGAGCAGTATGCCAATAACCTCGAGTCGCTGGTGGAGGAGAAAACTGAGCAATTGTCAATGGAGAAGAGACGTTCAGAGGAACTACTGTATCAAGTGCTTCCAAGGTAAGGTATCATATTAGTGATAATTTATTTATTTTCTTATTTTGCAATTCACTAGAAAGAAAGATTAGAAAAAAAAGAAAAAGTAATTCACCAGAAGAAAGTTAGGGAAGCTATTGCTTTTGAGTTATCGCTGTCGCTAAAGCTATTGGATTTTCACAAAATAACGCTATTCGATTTAATGAATAAATCTAGTTATTTAGCGAATTCTTGGAACTAGATGTGTACGATTTAGCGTTTGATACTCTCCTATTATGGATAAATAGCGTAACGGATTTTAATCGCAAAAAACCGTATGTAGTACACAGCAGCGTCAATACTGTAAAGTTTAATATTCACCATCAGGCCAGTGGCCCAGCAGTTGATGACGGGAGAAGTAGTTCAACCGGAGAGCTTTGAATGCGTCACCGTGTACTTCAGTGACATCGTCGGCTTCACTGAGCTCTGCGCTGCCTCCACTCCGATGCAAGTTGTGGATTTGCTTAACGACTTGTATAGTACATTCGACCGGATTATCGGTAATTATGATGTTTACAAGGTAAGTGTCACTTTTTTATAATTTAGAAGTGGCAAACGAACTCACAATCCACCTGATGGTAAGTGGTTGCTGCGGCTCATAGTAAGAGTAGCTGCTGCAGTGCACAGTCCATGAACACTGTAACTATCTTCATATAGGGATGCTACAGATGTGTTGTCACCTGTGAGGACTTTTTCATTTTATTTATTTAGGCATTTTTGTTTGCAGGCATATTAATTTCATTATAAAAAACTTAGAATCTATACATGAGACCGAATTTCGGTCATGGCGGCCAGTCTCAACGGAGATTAAGCCGTTTAAGCAGGACAGGATTATAGTGTTTATTTTTGCAAACACAAGTGCACTTTCTATTTCCTAAACACTCATAGTCCGATGGGACAGCAATCCGAGAGGATCAGAGAGAGATCAGGCGCAGGATTTACGATTTACAGGAGAGACGGCTTTACGTGCAGTTCGAGGCACGTAGGTGAGACACCGCCAACTTCCTGATTTCGGGCTGTATAGAAAAATCCAATAACTGGATTTAGCTTGCGAGATTTGAACCCAGGACGTCATGATCAGCAACTACGTATATGAGGACTAACGAGGCAGTCAATATATTAACCATTAATCGCACATGCATAATGCACACGAATGCTTTGTGCAATACCCATATCGGCTATAGCTCACAGGATAATATATTATAATATATTTATGCGTGGTAGAGCCACGCTGCTGTTATAATATGGTAGTAGCACAAATAGGTTGGCTCGACCGGAGCAGGACCACGCTTTCACAGAATACCAGCGTAAAATAGTAGCTTAATGCTGCTGTGTTTCGTATGGTGAGTGTAGAGAGCCTGAGACCCGTTTTACTGGAATCAAGGCATTCCACCTTAGTCCTCGGGGGTGACAACGCATCTGCGTTTTGATTTTTAATCGAGGTTAAATGTCACGTAAACCAGGTGGACTGTGTGCTCGTTTGTCACCCTATTTTAAAAAAAATATTTTAAGACCGCTTCACATGAACTAGCCGGAGACATTTGACCAAAAACAGTGATTATGGGATTTAGCGAGTTTTATACCGTTGTGATCAATACATCAGGCATACACTTGGTTTGGGCGCACACTTCGGTCAATATAATAATGTCTCCTGCTCTACGATAGGGGAGGATCGTCGCCATTTGCTTTATTTTTTTTACTTATAAGTTATATTAAAAGAACGATAAATAGAAATGATAAAGTAGGAAAATTGCAGGTTGAAACAATAGGAGACGCTTATATGGTAGTGTCTGGTCTGCCCGAGAGAAATGGTGACATGCACGCAAGAGAAATTTGCTTAATGGCGCTGGCCGTGGTAGAAGCTGTACGGGCCTTTGCCGTCAGGCATAGGCCTTCACACCGCTTGGAAGTGAGAATAGTTTAATAATATATTTACTAACGTAAAAAAAATATTACTATTACTACTATTTAAAATATATACTGTGTGATAGTTGTGTTGGTATATCCGTCAATTTATATACTATAATTAGCTTGCCAGGCAGACGTTGTTCTGCCCTTTTCGACGACCCTTTGTCATGTCCTATTAAAAATCCTTATTTTCGCAAAAAAAATAGTGGGTCACTCATGGGCAAAAAAACTATGCTATCTCTCAAGTTGGGCCAAACTGTACACGGTGTGGAAATTTGATTTAAATCGGTTAAGTGGTTTAGGAGTTCATCGCGGACAAACAACGTGACACGTAATTTATATATATTAAGATGATTATCCTTAAAGTGATCTTTAGGACAGTTTAAAAAAATTCTTTATTGCCTTTGAAATAGTTGATACAAAGCCGAACTTAATGTCGAACAAGCAACTTTGATAGTGTGTTGAGAGCTATGGGTAGTGTAGCTACTAAAACCAACAATAAATTATTGAAAAATATTTAAAACAGCAGCACTCCGGCACCCCAGTGCCAGCTCCTTCCTCTTGACCACATCCAGCGCAGAGCGGCTCGAATCGTCGACAACTGATTTCTTTCTGATTGGCTCGATTCACTGACGCTGCGAAGCGGTGTTGCATCATTTTGCATTTTATATCGCATCTACCACGAGGAGTGCTCTGAGAAATTGTTCGGATTAATTCCAGCCGCCAAATTTTACGAAAGCACATCGCGTCAAAATTCACGATACCATACTCACCATCTGAATGCTTGGCGGTTCAGCACTGTGCGTTTTTTATTTACCACCGGCGATTTTTCCGGACCGATACGACTTAGGGACCTTCAAGAAAAGAGTTTATCCCTTTCTAAAAGGTCGGCAACGCACCAATTCCTCTGGTGTTGCCGTTGTTCATGGGTGGCGGTAGTCACTTACCATCAGGTGAGCCGCGTGCTCATCTGTCCCTCCTTCTAAAAAATATTAATAAAGACAGGGATGGTAGTATTACACGCGGCATCGTTATACGGTCGCCATCCATCTGCAATGCGTGGAGTTTAAAGCAAATCCTTCTTACAATGCTAGCAATCAATTCTATAAGTTGACTTTTATGGGTTAATAAAGATAGGATAAATAAAAAAAATTAAGAATAATTATTTTTAATTTTGTCGCCTTACTGCAGCACAGAGCTCTTTTTTTTTTAGTATATTTTATTAAATTCATAATGTTGTTAAATTAAACATTTCGTTTTATTTATCTAAAAGTTACAGCCTATATACGTCCCACTGCTGGGCACAGGCCTCCCCTCATTTCTGAGAGGGTTTTAGGGCAAGGAAGTGTCCGCCGCGCTGCCCCAATGCGTGTTGGCGAACTTCACATGTCTTCGAAATATATATTTTGTTATTCCTCAGAGATGCAGGTTTCCTCACGATGTTTTCCTTCACCACCAAGCACGTGGTAAATCAGTACTTAAAATTGCAATTAACAATTTCATTGGTGCCGGCGGGGATCGAACCCAGGTTACTAGCGTTCTGTTATATTTACAGCGAGCGTCAACCATCTGAGCTACCACGGCTCTTCACGCTCATTACGGCTTTATTTATCTGTTTTCATATAATTACCTTTTTACATGTTGTGCTGCATGCGTAAACTGGAATAAACGAATTTCTTTCTTTCTTTCATTCCACGAGGACAAACATCCAGACCCGGAGCAATTATTTCGTTTGTCTGTTTTATGGGGGTTGTATAAATAATACCGTCCTGCTTTTCATAAAACTTTGTTAATTGATAGTCTAAGTTTTGAACTTTGATTATATATAATAAAAGTTCCTAAACTGGTTTAAGAAGAGTCTTTATAACTAAAGAAGTCTATTAGTCACGTCGCCACAGTTTTCGTTAAATCACAAAATTGTTGTCAAATTCAATACATTCTAAATTTAATTTTCATATTTTCCACGGGACTCCTTTATTGAAAGTGACTAGTTTAAACCTGAGAATTGTAAACTCCTTTTTGAAAACAATAAACTAATAAACAAACATTAAATATTTTTGTGTAGAAAAAAGGTAAAATGGCGCGTGTTTAATCTGTGGCCGTAGAAGGCAAGGTGTTCTGCCCGGAGAGCGGTCGACACTCCGTGTGATAGTTCGGAGATGTTCTATATATACTGTTTATGATTCGGAATTATGATAGCGCGATTTAGGCTTCGGTGTGTTTCGCTTGTGGCGTGACAACAGCGCCGCCACAAGTCGATAGTTAATTCATACCTACTTTAGGTGCGAGTGGGAGTGCATTCCGGGCCCGTGTGCGCTGGTGTTGTGGGCGTGAAGATGCCACACTATTGCTTATTTGGCGACACCGTCAACACAGCGAGTCGAATGGAATCCACCGGACAACGTAAGGGACTGATAACTGATAAGATACATGCCGATAGTCAGGGTTGACTGGTAGAGAGCGTACTAAGGTGTTACCTCCACCCGTTTTATAACTTTTTAAAAGGATGTAATATATTATAATATAATAAAAATAAAATCCTAATAAATTCCTATATAAATCCTTTTTTATTATTGAAGTAATATAATCTACGTACTAGAACTAGGGTTGCCAGATCTTAAAACCGAAAATCCGGACAGACCAGCTGGCTTAGCCGGACATTTTGGTAAAAAGGTCGGACACCCCTAATTTTACAGTCTTACACGCTTACACGATAACTTTTGAAAAGTAAAACAATGCTTTTATCATTTACCATAAAATCTTCTTCAATTCTAATGAAATAACAATAAAATTGAATGAACCAATCTTATTTATTCAATGTTCATTACAATATTAATTTCAGTAATTGCAATATGTATTATATAATATGTAAGTACATGAAAAGTAATGTAAAAGAATGGTCAAATATAAAAAGCCTGACTGCGTTCGGCTTTATCCGGACGCCTGGCAACGCTAACTAGAGCAGACACCGTGAAAAAAATCTGTGTAGTAGAGCAGTTCGCGTCGAAGGCACTGAGTACCTAAATACGTTTATAACGCAGTTTAGTTAAGTTTGAGCCTGTGGGCTCACGTGTTGCAAATTACCAAATCTCTGAGTCTCTTCTAGTACGTGACACATATTACTACGTATACATACTCGTATATTACGTACTTTTAATTTTTCTGTGATATTACTTCAATGTTTTTTTTTTTATAGAATAAGGGTAACAAGCGATCACACAATCCACCTGATGGTAAGTGGGTGCTGAGGCCCGTAGACAATCTATATTTTATCCTCGATTAAGAATCAAAATGGGGATACGTTGGCACCCCTGAGGATAGATGGAATTACTTGTTAACAGTAAAAACGACTCTCTACACTCACCATACAAAGCAAAGCAACATTATCTCTTTTGAAGTTTCAAACCCTATTTAGCTTGTGTTGTTCCAGCCTTAAATGTATTGAGTTTTAGTTCTTTTTAAGTGCGTATTAGTACTTTTATATCTAAAGTCCACTGCTTGATATTGGTCACACCCTAGATATCTTTGCGTTCTGAAGGTTGTTTTTTTAAATTATTTTGAGTTGTCATCAGGAAGTTGCTGCTGCTAATCTCCTGTCACAGTTTCCCTCTGACACCTCTTACGACACCCTCGGGATCATACTATGGGGTAGTGGATTCTATTAAGCTGTTAATACACCGCGCTTCTCTAACACCCGTATTTATAAACAAGTAAAACTGATTACTTGAGTAAAAGTGATCACTAACGATTTGTATTCGATAGTTAAGTAATTGCTCCAAGTTAGAACTGTCAAAAGTTAGAATACTCAGCCAAGTAATAGTCACCATTTCCTTTACTTAAGCACTACTTTGAGGTTATTTTGGATAAAAAATAAAAACTTTGGATAGCATTGGAACGGTTTTTGCTGTTGTAGATAATACTATATTAGAGGAGATAGAATTTGATTTTTTTTTTCAAATATATATATCGAATAAATAATCATAAGAACAGAAATTAAACAAATAAGTATAATAATCCAACATTATATTTATGATGTAAATTTTACACTATTTACTTTAACACATTTAATTTTATCGAGTAATAATTATTTTTAATAGAAAACAAGAATTAATGAAACATTTTTTTTTACTTTTACGTTTATTTCTTTAGAGTTGAATTTTAAAATAACGATTTTGACAACCTGGCGCATAGTAAGCGCTCACGGGGTACCGAAGTTGCCACAATAGGCAAATAGATCTTAGCTAGGCTAAGAAGCTCGGGTGACAAACCTTTCATGCCATCTCACATTTCCAACTCATCTCCCTTTATAGGAGTGACAGGTGATTACATGAATATATGTAACAATTTTTTCGGGATTATGTTATTTCTGCTAAACGAACCTTCTTACTTTAAAAGTTTAGACGATATCTAACTTCGACATTTTTTACGAATATTTATTTTCGGCGTCATAAATATCGTGTTAATCGTCGTTCGTAAGCATTAACATACGGAATTTTATGCCTTAGAATTGTTGGTTATATCGAAACCTTTGACAGTAAGTCAAAACATCGTTCATAATAATGAAGAACTATGTTTCTGAACACAGAAACAACCACCAATCGTAGAGTGTTACTTGGGCATTTGCTCAAGTAAGTAACGTGCGTTACTCAACTATAGAATGAGATTTTGTAATTAAGAATTCTAACCTTAAGTAATGACTTAACTAAGAAACTACTTGGCAACAAGTAATTACTTCTTTATAAATACGGGTATAAGTAATGCCACAATGCACAGTCCTAAGCCACCTGTATCTATCGACTTCCTGCATATTCTACTAGGTCGTTAATGCATCTAATGGAGTGCCGCCCTACACTTCGCTTACCGGTATGAGGCTGCCACTCGAGGAAAGGCTGCCGACAGATTGGGAAGATACGATTTCCAATCAATTGTCGGTCCTTCGAATTATATGGGAGGCCCTTTGCTACTTCAACTTACTGATCCGCAGTATTATAAGGTTCTTACTGTAGTCAAAATCTAATAATTTTACATTATCTATATATTGAGTTGAATATTTAAAAGTACTCTTTTTTTGAGTTGAGATATTAAAATGTTGAAGTGAAGTGAAGTGAATATATTCACCGCGCTGCTCCCGTATGTGGTGGCGTTCTTCACAATTCTTCGAAATATTATGTTTTTCAAACCGATAAGATTTTCTCATGATGTTTTCCTTCACCGCCGAGCACGTAGTAAATTATCACGTAAAGTTGTAAATTAATAATTTATCCGGGTTAGTCGCGTACAGTGAAATTTACGATGAACGCCTAGCCCCTGAGCTACCACAGCTCTATCCTAGGTTTACTTAAAACTTATTCAAGACGTTACACACGTATAAGCCATATTATGTAAATTAAGCTGCAAAATGCAAGTAAATTGTTATCTGAAATTTCACATTAATAGATCTGTGCCTCACAGTCAATAATTCTTGTAAAAAGAAAACTCTATATTTTCATTTTAGCATTGAGGATTCACCTAAGCGAAAGCACCCGAGCGTTACTCGAGCAGTGGGGTACTTTCATAGTAGAACGCAGGGGAGAAGTGGAGCTTAAAGGAAGAGGAAGGATGCTCACTCACTGGCTGCTGCACTGCTCGGAGCCAGAGCCGCGGCAAGTGGGGCAGAGCACCCTGCCCCCACCGCAGTATCCGATATTATTCCCAGCGCTGCCGCAACCTATAGCTATACATACGCCGTATATAGTTGTTGAACAATCCACTTTGGCTGCTTAGTTGGGTTAAACTTAATAATATTGATTGGTTGTAGAGAAAATGTATAGTTTTTGTAATATGTTATCTCGAGAATGAAAAATCACACAATGCAAGTAAAAGCAAAAAGTAAAAAGACAATGTGAAGTAAGACATAAATTATGAGCACCTTCACTATCATATAGGTATCATTAACAACTTCTTTACGTACTTACCGTAAAGAAATTAATTTTAACAAGGATACGTTAAAATTTCCATATTTTCTGATAAATATCAAACCGCATACGAACTACCTACGTACCTATACATATCTCACATTCGATAAAACGCTGATTTATGAGTATAATTTCTTTAGCGTTAAAATTCTTAAATAACTTATAAATTAACAGCAGCAAATTATAAAAAAAATTAAAGAGACAAGCAAATTAAGCATCACAATTTTCAGTTTTGTACGAAGATGGTGATAAAGACATCATCATTATAACAGTCCTGCGCAAGTCCACTGCAGAACAAGACTCCTTCAAGGAATGCCACAAACACTGTCCTGAGCCACTTGCATCCATCGAGGCTCTCTCTTCGAGCTTCTCCAACTCACCATGCTCAATGTTGAATGAGTCATGTGGACGCGGTCTTTAAAGCGAAGCAGAGATTGCCCAACACTTCTCTTTGCACCCTTAACAGCCACCGCAGATGTGACTGTTTAAGCAGGGCAGTGAAACTGGGAGGCTGCGCTTTCTCAAGGACTCCTTCATTTGTAATTCTGTCTTGCCGTGTGACACCCAAGACACTGCGCATGCAACGCATATGGAAGGAATTATGTCGAAGTCTTTGTTTTGCATGACGTCCAGGCTTAGGATCTTCTTTTATACGGTTATGTATATTACTGCTACTATTACCACGGGTGCCACTCATAAGTACTTCATACATGACGCAGACACATTTGATGTCTCCAGCCCTTAATTACTAAGAAGAAGACCCTTGGCAACAAATTTGATTTTCAAAACAAGCAACTGTTAAACCTTACGATTGTAACATTTAGAGAAAAGGACAACAAACAGTTCTTCTGCTGCAGTCTTCTACTTTTACCATGATTTTAGATTGAAGCACTGCAACTTCACTGATCGCAAAGAGTAATCATTGAAGTTTATTGACTACAAATATTTTTATTAATCTCGAAACTCCTGATTGAATGAAAACGAAAGGTTGATAATGAGGTCGTTTGTCAATTGTTAAATTCATACACTGATGTTACCGTCATTTTTGCTCTTTGTATTTCTTGTTATTTGTTATAATAGTTTACAATTACTTAAAACGCTCAACTTTACTTAATTAAAATAATATTTATAAAACGTGATGGTAATTCCTTAAGAAAAACCACTCAAAAGTACAAAGTACTAACCTCAACTTTTCTTGCAAGGCAATTTATAATTATTAATTTATATCTTTTTATTGTGTTTTATATTGAAAGGAATGGAATATCACATTCTTTATTTTTTTAGATTTTATTTATTATAGTATTATGTAGAAACTTAGTATTAAGTTTATAAAAATGTGCCAAAAATAATACATCTGTACCTTTGATAAAATATGTAAATCGAAAATGTATACTAATATTACCAATAATGAAAATTAAATATAGTTTGTATTTAAATCGTACAAGCATTATATCAAACATATTTTTGTGTTAATGTTTAGATTTGTTACTCAGTTTTACTTCCTCCCGTGTTGGTGTGAATGTACCCTTCGTAGTGACTGAATCGGAAATTTGATTTGATTGTTTTAAACTGCTATTGTTTTCCACTCTTAAGATTTTTTTATTATATGTGGATGAGGTAAAATAGAAATGAACAAAATGCATCTTGGTGATCTGGCAGTTCTAACCGATTAAGTTGATATAATAATAATAATGTTGATAGAGCCGTGGTAGCTCAGATGGTTAACGCTCGCTGTAAATATAACAGAACACGAGTAACCCGGGTTCGAACCCCGCCGGCACCAATGAAATTGTTAATTGCAATTTTAAGTGCTGATTTACCACGTGCTCGGCGGTGAAGGAAAACATCGTGAGGAATGTGAGGAAAGGATGCTGCATGTCTGAGGAATAAGAAAAAAATATTTCGAAGACATGTGAAGTTCGCCAACACGCATTGGGGCAGCGCGGCGGACACTTCCTTGCCCTAAAACCCCCTCAGAAATGAGGGGAGGCCTGTGCCCAGCAGTGGGAGGTATATAGGCTGTAACTTTACTTTACTTTACCTTTACTTTAAGTTGATATAAATACTATCAAGGACAAATTTTCCGAAGAACCAAAGTCCATATCACCAAACATTACCTCGAGTACAGCTAATGTTGAAAGGGATCCGTCCAAAGATCAATGACAGCGTTAGTCTATTTCAGACCAGTGAATATAAAACACTTATAAAGATATAGAAGGTGCTTTTGACAGAACAAACTTCTCCAGCATAAAAGGTGCACTCAGTAGACATAAAGTTGAATCGGCACTGATCGACTGGATAGTTTGCATGCTCAGTACACGAATAATAAAGATTGCTGGTGAATCTCAACCAATCCTAATTAAGAAAGGTTGCCCGCAGGGTGGGGTCCTCTCACCTCTCCTGTGGAATATGGTCATTAATGAACTCATCAGCAAATTAAATACTAATCACTTTTATACAGTAGGTTATGCTGATGACCTGACTATACTGGTCTCGGGAAAGACAGCTAGCATAGTGTGCGACCTGACCCAAGCGGCTCTCCGTATAGTGGAGAGATGGTGCAGGGAATACGACTTAACCGTCAACCCAAATAAAACGGTTTTAGTAATGTTCACACAAAAACGGATGCTGAATAACTATCATCTTCCAAGTCTTTTCAGCACAAAACTCCAGCTATCCTCTGAGGTAAAATATTTAGGTCTTACCTTGAACAGCAAACTTAACTGGAATAAAAACATAGAAAACAAAATCAACAAAGCTAGTATAACTTTCTGGCAATGCAGAAACATGATTGGCAAAAAGATGGGGACTGACGCCAAAAATCATACTGTGGCTTTACAAAACTGTAATCCGGCCCATGATCACATACGGCGCTCTGGTATGGTGGACCAAGACCAATGAAGCCACCACAATTAAGAAGCTTCAGCGCTACCAGAGACTGGCATGTATGGCTGCCACAGGCTGCATAAGAACTACGCCAACAGCAGCCTTGGAAGCGATGCTGGAGCTAACTCCGCTTCATCTACATATACAACAAGAAGCGACTTTAGCTGCCATCAGACTCAAGACCCTAAATCTTTGGAGTAAGAATAGTGTCCCTCATACAGGCATAATTGATAGAATTTACTCAGAAATTCCTATCCTACAAGCCAAATACGATAGGATTCCTAAACAATTTGTTTTCGATAAGAAATACAAGATACAATTAAATGAAAACAGCCAGCCGGAAGGATTAAGCCCAAAAGAGCTTAGAATTTTCACCGATGGTTCTAAAACAAAGGAAGGTGTAGGTTCTGGAGCTTTCTCTGAAGACCTCAATATTCACATATGCACACCGCTGGGTACCTATAACACGGTCTTTCAGGCGGAATGTATGGGTATCATTCAAGCGGCCATAGCAATAGATGCTAGGAAGGTTAATGACTTCCCCATCAGAATACTGACCGACAGTAGGGCGGTACTACAAGCTCTGAGTTGCAATGGGGTGAACTCGGGACTAATATATGAATGCCATCAACGATTAAATGAGGTATGTAAAAACAACAATGTGACTCTACAATGGATAAAGGAACACAGTGGATCCAGAGGCAACGATGCAGCGGACGAACTGGCCAGAAGAGGATCGGCTCTGGCCACTATAGGGCCGGAACCAATCATACCAATCCCCTTTGGTAACGTTCGTTCAATGGTACGTAGACACTTCACTAATCAACACGCTCAGCTTTGGAAAAATCTAATAGACTGTAGACAAGCTAGGGAGGCCCTACCTGTAATAAACAGTCGCTTAACCAAAGTTCTAATGAGACTGAACAAGCCGCAGATCAGGATAGTAACTAGTGCTATCACAGGACATGGCACCTTTAACAAACATTTATTTACTATAGGTGTTACAGATAGTCCCCTGTGCAGGGCATGTATGGGGGAGGAAGAAACGGCGGCCCACGTGCTACTGAAATGTCCGGAGGTCGCTACGTACAGGGCTAAACATCTCGGCACGCCGGGATCACTCCCCCGAAGTTGCATGCAACATCAAGGGACTGTTGAGCTTCTTCGGGGGAGATCTCATGGCTCGAATAATCACATTATTCCTGCCCACACGCAAAATACGCGTAGAGACGTGGAGTTGCGGAAAACAGCCCGTTGCAAACTAAACTAAACTAAACTAAATACACTTATAAATATTTTAAAAATAACATTTTAACGTTCTCAAATCAAATTAAAAATTGTATTGAGTGATTTCTGTTAGGTTTTTTTTTATTATCTTTAGAACATCCATTTTTATTCATTGTTTCATGCGAAAGAAATAATAATAAATTACGCATAAAGTTGTTATAAATGTGATTTGAATCTTATTATTATCTAGCATCAAAATCCATTAAACTCCAATAAATATTTATATGCAGGTCAAATTGATCCGACCGAAGTAGCTGTAAAATGAAATCGAACACGTGAGGAATGTTAAATAAGTTTTAAGTAGAAAATATTGTTTAATTTATAGCTTATATCCCATCTCAATCGTGTCAATTAATGTCTATTTACTATAACCTATAACTCAAAAATGTATTTTGGTGTTAAATAAATGACTTTAAATTGGATTAATTCAGTGTTTTATTATTATTGCATGCGTCCGAGTTACGTAGATTACGTTCAAATGAAAATATTTCATTTGTGTAATTTATGGTTTCCATAATTCAAAATTTCCGTCTTTGTTCGTCTCGAAGAAATTAATTATAAGTAAATTAATAACATTTTTGACTTATGATAATTAAGAGAATTCATCATCTCTTTTCATCCCATGTGGTTTGATGATCAGCGAGATATTGGGTGCGTTTGGCAGAAAAAAGTGGGGATTACGTTGTGTTTGTTTTAGTAGAATTTATGTTTTTTTGTGCATTTTTGTAATATAATGACGATACTGAGTTTGTGTGGGGGTGAGGGTTGCTTTTTTGACATTGTGGGAAAGCCATTTCGTATTTGTAAGATTTAAAATACACAGAACTGTGATGAAGAACAGTAACAAAGGTACAAAGGTCTGGAACTGTGATCTGTGCCTGCCGATTATGGCGAATCCTCCGCTCTGTGTGAAAAAACTTAGTCATTTGGTCTCAGCTTTAGTCTAATAGTGGATTGTCAATGAGTTTTAAGATAAATAATTGTGTAGTGATAGTTTGTTTCCCTGGAAATGTTTGTATTACATGTACTTTTTCCAGCAGCAATGTTCCTCTGAAAAGTATAACCGACTGAAATATTGATAAACTTCCGTAATGATTGATATTAGATTCATTTTCCACCTATTTCATCAAAGAATCTATTCTTTGGTTACCATCAAGCTATCAGAACATATTCATTAATTTATCAGAAAGGGCTACGGGCAATTTCTATGATATATAATTTCTTGCTAATTCTTCTTAGTACAGTGGTATTTTCCTAACCAGAGGTGAATAAAAAATTTAATTTCAATACGTACCATGTAATAATCTTAATTGAATAAAAAAATATTCTTTTCTATTCTATTCATCACTCATAACAGCCTCCCTGTGATCCGTTGCTGGATGTACTCAAAAATTTCCTCATGGAAGAATACTTGCCATAATTGTCACGCTTGGCCAGCGGGTTGATAATTGCAGTTTTTTTTAATATTTTGAATTGTTGCCACAATACTGCTGCCTGCTTCATTACCTCTGACGCCTTCCAGACGCTGTGTAGTGGCAG